AAGACAGTTGTACCCTCCAATACTGATACTTTTAATGCTAGCTGAAGTCTTACTCATTTGTGGATTTGGGAATTAATTGCTGAGTGACCTCATGTTCATACATGTGAGGCAAGGGGTTACAGTGGTTCTAGAGGTTTAAATTGTGTTGTGAATTAATTGGTGTTGATGGCTTTCATCATATCGTTCATTGATTGGGGCTCCCAACCTGGAGGAAGAGCAGTAGAAAAAAACAGTTGTGGTGGTGGGGAGGGGGGGAGGGAAATGAATTTGTTCTGGTGGAACTAATCTGGTCCTCATTCCCTGATCCCCTTCAGTGCACAGCTCAGCACATGTCACGGGTCCATCGAGATGAAATTCTGCAAGAAGTTATTATCCAACCACAAAAGAGCACCAGTAACTATCAGGTCAGAAATAGTTGATTTTATTTATCAGCATTTCTTCAACAAAACGGCACCCAACATTTGACCAAAACTCCCTTAGAAATGAACTCCGGCTCATCTGCACCCACATGATGTGGCTCCAGGAACGTCACCCTTGTTAATGCAAAAAGGACCCCGGAGAGATCTTTCCCCATCAACTCACACCAGGGTGCCTCTACAATTGGTTCCCATAAAGCTAAGGATGACAACCAGGCTTGTCTCTCAGCCATGACCCCTGCTGGCACCAGAGATGCGTGCGGCTGGAGAGCAGCCCAGCGGGGCATCCCTAATTCTGCTTTGTTGAGACCTGGGCTTTGCATCTCTTCTGTGAGCAGTAATTGGCTGCAAGAAGCAATCCGTAACTCCTTCCTCTCCATAACCTCTTCCTGAGCAAACAGTGTTTCACCTGCGTGTGCCATGTTGCATCTCCCTCCCTCCTGCATCCAATAACTGTCCTGGGCTGTCTCGGTGCCAGAAACCTTTCTTCCTTTCTTTTTTTCTTTTTACGTTTTGTCCCCCAGCAATCTCTAAGCCATATTCATTAGTGAAATATCAGGAACCTCTGGGGCGGCAGCTTGTGCTCCTAATTCATCTTCCAAATGTATAATGAGCCAGGAGTGAAATTTTTTAGGGTGAATTTAATTGACCTTTACAACAGCATCAGGCAGATTGGCTTAAATGTTATTAAAGCATAATATAACCCAGGGAGACCGTAAGGAAGGTTATCAGAAAATCTATCAAGTTGTTGGGTTGTTGTTTCATGGCGAACAAATTAAGGAGGAAAAGGGGAGGGGTAGGGAGAAAAACAGGAAGTGATGGAGACAGGTTGAAGAGGGCTGAAGTAATGAGCGTGGAAGACTGGGAGCCAGAGACAGCTGTATCCAAAGGAAGATCAGGAGGAGGGGTGTTTGCCATCCTGAGGTCCCAAAGGCTCCTGACTGCTGGGAGTGCATTTATTACCCAGTTCATTTCTCCCACATCCTGAAATAGGGTGACCTGAAAGTCACAATGAATTATGAATGGAGGTTGGTTGGTTCTAAAAGAAGATTGGCAAATTCACTGAAGATACAGTAAGGCTATCAGTGGCTACTAGTGTCAGGGACCGTGCTGAGGAGGGCTGCACTGAGGAACAATGGTGGGAGCCACCCCCTCTCCCTGACCCTGATCCTGAATCTTCACAGGAGCAAGAGGACAGTATAGATTTGGAACAGGGGTTTGCAGAGGGGCATAGTTCAGAAGGCAGAAGCTGGGAAATGCTGGATGGGGAACAGCTAGGAGAAGAAACACTGGAAGAGAGAGGGTTAATAGATTCACAGTCGTGGGACAGCATTCACCCCCCCCTTCTCCAAAGACACAGAGAGCTCAGAAAGTATTAGAACAGAAAGTCCAGAGAGTACAAACTCAGATTACAAAACGGAGGACTGACGTGGATTAATAGGGACGGGGTGGAGGGAGTGAGCCTTAATTGGGAGCACCGCCATTTCTAGGTAGACGTGTTATTTTATCTCTCACTGTGATTATTAAAGAATCTAACTGGTAAGACGTTCCTTTTGTTTGATCTCTTCTTATTTACTGCCACGGGGGAGGAAGCCGATTCCCCAAAGCCTGACAACTAGCCACAATGGCTAGGGGTTGATTCCATGGTTGCAGGAATACTTTGAATACCAGTTGTTGGAAATCACAGGGTGGGGGGGGCTCCTGTGCTCAAGTCCAGCTTGTGGGTTCCACCTAATGCTAAGAAGTCACAACCCAACATGGATTATGATTTATTTATTATGATTATTTATTTCATTTATATCCCACCTACCCCCCGCCACAGGAGCTCAAGGTCGAATACATGGTTCTCCCCTTCCTTATTTAATCCTCACAGCAGCCCTGTGAGGTAGGTTAGGCTGAGAGGCAGTAACTGGCCCAAAGTCACCCGGCAAAAGCTTTGTGGCCAAGTCAAACTTTGAATCCTGGTCTCCCAGGTCTTAGTCCAGAACTTCCACCACTACACCATGAATACTAACCATTTGCACAATTGATTCTGCACTTGCTAGTTATGGGGTGGGGCCTGGATCTATATGTAGAAGGAAAGACCATGGGGAACCTTATTCAGCCACTCCTCTGTACTTCATGTTTCTCACATGCATGGCTTTAAAGCATTTTCTCTACAATCTTGAGGGCTAGAAACTGAATTTGATTAAAGTTAAGATCCACAGAGTTCTGATTCCTGCACCCAGTCCCATATTCTCTACTGCTTCTGTGTTCACTTAGAATCCCGGCATAAACATAACCCAATTATACTGTTCTCCATGCCAAGCAGTTTTGATATACAGAAAGTGGACTCTCCCATCTGTATTAGTGCCTACATTTTATACCAGGGCTGGAGAACTGTTTTCAGCCCAAGGACCACATTGCCTCCTGAGCAATGTGCAATCAGGGGGCCTGATTCAAGTGCTGGGGAAAGAGAGCAGAGGAATGGACGTGACATTTACCCTTTGTACATTAGTCTACATTCTAGCCACACAAAAGTCAGAGGTTTCTCGACACACACATTTCTCCGTTCTCCACCCAAGGAAGCAAGAGGACACATTCCAGCCAAGCAAAAGCGCTGGAGGGTGTGGAGCAGGCCCAGGGAGGGGTGTGGCCTTGGGAAAGGAGGCAGCAGCACAGTGGCAAATTCAGAAGCGCAGGGTCCTTCTGTGACACTCACAGCCACTTAGCATACAGAACAATTCATTGGTGTTCTTCCCACACACCTTCTCCAGAGTTGACCCTAGGAGCCAATCCTCAGAAGCTGCTTCACCTCTCAGCACAAAGGGGGAGAAGACTTCTTCTCCATGGCTAGAAGGCTTCCTTTTCATGCCAACTGGATGGTTTTAGGATGCTGGAGGCAGGGACCCAGCGGCAGAAATAGTAACAGGTCTTTAACAGCAACACCCCACCACAATCCTAAACCCCTACATCTCTGGGTTTAGGCAGTGGGTGAGACCTGGTGGGCAGTCCTGGAAGCCCCATTCTCCACAACTCCAATTCAATCCATACCCATTTAGAAGATTATCCCATGAAGAACTCGCCGCCATTCACTCCCATCCACCCTGCTCGGAGAATGACAGGGGGCTCACGGCGTTCCCCGCATGCTTCAGCTCAGGTTACTTCCAAACTGTGCTTCCCTATTCTCCGCAGAGAGAATGTCACATAAAATAGCATTATAAAAGCATTTCAAAGAAGAAAAGATAACAAGAGTCACATTTGAAATGAGAAGTGGGCGTGTATTCACGGGTGAGAGTGCATTTTAAAGAGTTCAAAGCGTGCTAAAATGTGGACGGGGATGAAAGTCATCAGAATCAGCTTGGGCAAAACTGGGCTTGGGGGAGGTGGGGAAGGGAAGAGTTAATGGTGATGTCAAGAGCAATTTTTAGTCCTGTTAGATATTCATTTTCCATAGATCATCTGCTTGTCCCCGCTTGTTTGAAATTCTCAAGGTTTCAAGCTTCAAAGCGCACCATGACTGCCTTTTGCACAGAGCTCATGGATCCGTAGGGAGCCACATCAGCAGGTTATAGCAGAGTGCGCGCCGAGAACTCCCGCTGGGACACTTGCTCCTTCTGCCAGCCGTCATCTCTGCGACAAGGGCATGGTGGCTTCCAGCCGGGAATAATGTAGCCACTCCAAAGAATTTGGGTAGTGGGAAGAGAAATGGAAAATCTGCTAGACTGGCAGGGGGACAACGATGAATATTCTATATCCCCCTCTCGTTTTCTGTGTTAGAGAACCCCAGAGATTACCCTTTCATAGTACTTAATTGAATTAAGAACATAAGAAGAGCCAGCTGGATCAGGCCAATAGCTCGTCTAGTCCAGCATCCTGGTCTTACATTGGCTGAATGGAAAACCCACAAGCAGGACATGAGCACAAGAACCCTCTCCCCTCCTGTGGTTGGAGACAGCATTTTTTCTGACTATCAGTTGCTGGAAACCATGCAAGGGGACAGTGCTCTTGTGCTTGTGTCCTGCTTGTGGGTTTCCCATTGGGGCATCTGGTTGGCCACTGTGAGAACAGGATGCTGGACTAGCCAGCAGGCTTTTCTTATGTTCTTTTTGATAGCACTGAAAAATGCCTCTCCTTCAGCATTCCCCCAAGCATTTAAAATGGAAGACATTATTTAGGACACTTTTAGTCTGAAGCATGGTGCCTGTAGTGTCATCCTCTCTCTCTCTCTCTCTCTCTCTCTCTCTCTCTCTCTCTCTCTCGTTTACTAGGTGCCAAGAGCTAAGAGCCTAACAACTTGGTTTGATCAGTCAATTAATTCACACAGTTCGGCAACTGTCTATGCAAGCCGTCCTCTCTTGGCTCGAAAGGCCACGTCCATTAAGTGCTCTTGAGCAAGTTGGCTGAAGAGCTCTTCTGTCAAGCATCAGCCCAGAGCTCTTGCCTCCTAAAGTTGTTCTCTTTCTCTCCAGAAGAAACTAAGTAGGACGGAGGCAAGGCAGGCATCAGTGAAGGAAGCAGCCTTTTCATCTGGGAGTAGGTGTGAAAAGCATGGCCTTGAAGGGAGAACACAAAGCTTCCCCCACTCGAAAACACTTGCTGTGAAATGAAGGCAACACATCCATGATCCAAAGCCTACAATGATCCAAAGCCTGCAGAGATAGCGAGCAGGTGAGCAGAAAGGGCTCTGCTGTGTTTCTCCTCGCAATTTTGTTTCTTTTCCTTTTTTTTCCATCAAAGGGAGAAAGAAAAAGTAGTGTGGTTGAGGCTGAGGGGGAAGAAAACCCAGCTATGTGTCCCACTCTGTAGAACACAGGAAGATACCTTAAACCAGTGATGGCCAAACTTGGCCCTCTAGCTGTTTGGGGACTACAATTCCCATCATCCCTGACAACTGATCCTGTTAGATAGGGATGATGGGAGTTGTAGTCCCAAAACAGCTGGAGGGCCAAGTTTGGCCATCACTGTGCTTAAACTGAATCAAAGCAATGGTCTAATAGTATGGTCTACACTGAATGGCAGCAGCTCTCTGTTGTCACAGGAAGCAGTTTTACTCAGCAGTCCTACCAGAAGAAATGAATGAGTGACTCTGTCAATTCCAGTCTCTTGTTTTTGTTTTTTTTTTAAATCTGTTCTCTACATTTTTCCACCAGTTTGTAATTAAAAGGCGAGGGGGGAGAAAGAGAGACCTCTTGAAAATTTCATCAGCACTTGAGTTCGAATTTCTCCTGATACACACATGTACATATGCAATTTCCCCTAATAATGCAGATTTTCATAAAGTAATTTCCCCTAATATTTTGTATGTTGTTTCCACACGGCAAAGAAATTCAACATGTGATTGCTGCAGAAAATCACACCCGCTGAATTTATCTGCTTTGAGGGTCATGACCCAAGACATGGGGGCGCTCCCACGAGAAAAGACCACAACCCCGCTTCTTTCCAAACAGCCTGGTTTGCATCGTCACCTGACCCTCCGCATTGTTGCCGCTCCCGGGAATAAAAATGCAAACCCATAAAGCGTAATGGGCTGTGGTGATTTATTAAGTATTAGTTTAGTCTTGGGGACCTTGTGACACCAGAGACCAAGGCAGCTCCACTCCTGGTTTTACGATGCTCCCAAGACCTCTCCGTGCAATTATTTCCTTGTCTCCCCACAGCCCATACATTATTCTCTATAATAATATGTTTTCTGAAACTCCTTTCCATAAACTACTGTAGCAGGCAGCAAGAAACCGTATTATTATTGATATCATGTCACATCAGTAGTAAAATGACTTATGGAAAATGGACTGTGAATAGAGACGGTTTCAATTTAAAACATTCTGACCTTTCAGATTATTAAAGAGGAGGGAAGGGGAAAACACACACACACATACACATACACACACCACACCAAACTAGTGTGCGGCAGCATCATACTCAGAAGGAGCGGGGAGGGGTACCTATAACAACCTTGAACTGCAGACAAACTGAAGGCCTCTTCTTTCGGTCTAAGCAGTGGGGTTTTTAAGTGAAATCCAGGGAATCCTGGGATTTTGTGGAAGCTTATCCGGAAATTTTGTGGAAGCTTAGAGAAGAAAATAAGCCACAGCTGACAAGCTTCCCTCAAAGCTTGCAGTATAAAGGGCTGTATCCAGTGCTAGCCAGAAAGAGACCCCTTGAAATTACCAGACATGGCTAATTCAAGTCACAGCCACACCATGCATTTTCAAGCACTTTCATACCACATGGCTAGGCATTGCTCCCCACTTACCTCTACAAAGTATGCTGAGAACTCTGTAGTTTGTTAATGGTGCTGGGAAGAGCAGCTATGTAAGGTGTCTCCTAACTCTCACCACCCATTAAACTATAGTTCCTGTAGTTGCCGGGGGGTGGGAGCCACGCTTCAAATATATGGTGTGGAGCTGGCCTTAGGTCAGGGGTCGGCAAGGTTTACCTTGCCTAGGCCTGTTCACTCCAGTGGAGATCCCTCTGTGGGCTGGATCGTGGGCACCCACAATTTCCGGCGTCTGCATCTGCGCAGACGCAATTTCTGGCACCACGGAAGGGAGTCCCCGCACTGCGCTGCGCCGGTTTAGCACAGTGCGCAGGGGCTCACCGAGCCGGCGGCTCGGTTCAGGGGCGGGTTGTGGGCTAGTTAAATGACCCCCGTGGGCCGCTTGTGGCCCATGTACCTTAGGTTGCCCACCCCTGCCTTAGGTCCATTAATTAACCTGCTTCTCGTTTTGAAGCACACTGAACTAATTCACCAGTCCTGGACTTCTGTGTGGGTGAAATATGGAGCTATCAATCGGATTACATGCTTCTCCAAATCTGGCTTCCAGTTTGCTTATTTCTTTGCAAGAACATTTAACCTTAATGCATCAGCACCCAACTATAAGTGGAAGAAGAGCCTGGCTGCTGGATTACACCAATGGGGGCCCATCTAATCCATCATCCTGTTCTCAAAGTGGCAAACCTACTATGGGAAGCCTAGTTGTGATTTTCCAGGTATGCAGCACTGTTCTTCACTGTGTACGTCCCCCAGCTGCCTTGCATCTATCTATCTATCTATATATACGCACGCACACGCACGCACACACACACACACACACACACAAATAACAGTTTTGTGTAACTCAACTTTCCCCATCCACAATTTATTTGAACCTCATTTTAGTTCAACAACAGCACCACCCCCAATTTCTGGCCACTATTGCTCAGGTTAAAAACTGCAGTTTGAGAGCAAATTGCTAGAGAAGAATAGCCAGAAATGCAGACTGCAATTTAGCACAGTGTTTAGGAGATTGAGCTGTGAGGTTCACAATAAAATTGTAGCTTCATCCCGAACTTGCTAGATTGCTGTAGTCAATTTGCCTTCTCTCACCCTCAGCTACTGAGGGGATAAGAATACTGGCCTACCACAAAGGGCTGTTGTAAGGAACAGTGAGGCAATGTATGTTGAGATGTTTTCTGTGCTTAGAAAACACACAGCGGGAATACCATCTTAACCCAGATGCATATTCACAGTTTTAACAAAGTTGCTGGTCCTAAGCACATTTACTCAGAAGTAAGTTCCACTGGGCATCACTGCCTGCTAAGTATGCTTAGGATTAAAGTTGTCATCTTAAAAATGCATGGCTGACTTTTTCCTCTTATCAGTAAATCCAGGATCAGCAACTTTCTTTTAATGGGGAATGGGGAAGCAGGAAGCAAAGCATCAACAGAAAAAATATATTATTTTATTACTTTTTTTATTTAGGCAAAGGCAATAAAAATTGGACAAACTGCCCAAATCTCTTTTGGAAGCTTTCCGAGCTGTAAACTCACAAGCTCTGGACCACACTTAATCTCCCTGTGTGTTTATCTCAAAGTCTGTGCTGGGATGCTAACTGAAGGGCATTTTTAATCAGGGATCAGATGTTATCTGGCCATTGGTCTGGGACCAATACTAGGAAGTGTTTATTGGTCCAGAAAACATCTCTACTGTTCCACCAACTGAACGCCTTTGCAACCGTCTTTTTCCACTTGATGGTAACATCTGATAGCTCATGGGCTGCTAGGAAGAGATTGATGGCCATGCTACATCTCTGCATTTCAGAGCTGAAATTTTAGCTCAGCGATATTGCAGTTGTTTCCAGATATATGATACCTGCTCCCAACAGCATCCAGAAGTATGTTGCTGGGATGGAAATGGCAACATTAGGAGTCAGGTAGCCCCTGATCTGAGGCTCAAGGGTATTGGGTTATTCATTCATTCATTCATAAAAAAACATTTATATATCGCTACTTCATAAAATATCAGGGTGGTGGGCAACAAGACATATACAACAAATCAGAATTAAAAGCAGTTCAAACCAATACTCAAAATGACTGGCAATTGTACAGGCTTGCTTTAAACAATGGTACAGGCTTGCTAGCATAAAATGGTCTTCAATAGAAAATCTCTGTCAAATCTATTTTGGAAGAGTATTCCACAGCATGGGACCAAGGACTCTAAGTGTTCAGCTTCTAGTTTAAGCCAGTCAGGCCTCTGAAACATGTGGGTCAGTCCCAGACCCAAGGTGTTCAGAACTTTCTGAGTCAACACAAAAGCCTTGAACTGACACATTCACCCACCTTCTCATAAATTCAGTGGGGAATTACTGCAGTTTTCTTGTATAAGACTATGTTGTTTTCTTGAAAAATCATGCTAAAAAGTGGGGGTCGTCTTATACATGGGTTGTGCATAGGGTGGACCTTCGATTGGTTGCTGGCGAGGCTGTCAGTGACTATTGTACATGTTACTGGTTGCTGCATAAATGGGTGGTGTTGATTGGCTGATGCTCCAGCAGTTGGGCGGGTGATTGGCAGCTTCTGCCGGCGATGGAACAGACAGGAGGCAAATTTAGCAACAAATGCAGGTGAGCGATTTTTGGCAATCTGCACTTAAAAAAAGCTCCACAACCCTGGGTAAGCTCAACAACTCTGTGCCATCTCTCCCCCCCCCATTTTCTTAAATTTGAGTCCCCCAAAATAGTGGTTGTCTTATACATGGGGACATCTTATAGATGGAAAAGTACAGTATTCTCCCGAATGTTTCATCTAGTCTCCCCCACCCTCTCACCTTCAAAACCAGATTCCCTTGCATGGAACCATTCCAACAAAGTTCATAGAAAGTACACCAGTCTGGTGTTCCAAATGGTCCAAAGTTTCCCCCGACCCTAGATTAAAGAGGAAACACTGGCAGGGATTATTTAGGCAGCAAATAAGAGATTGTACAGAACGAAAACTGCCAATTCCTCAGACTGTAATGACATGAACAAACATGCCTAGGGCAATTTATTGTGCTGATAGCTCCGTAAGCACAGTCCACAGAACAAAATGTAGCAAATATACTCATTTGTGTGTGACACAGGTGACCTGCAAAGGATATTAAATGCAGCTGATGAGGACACACTTAATGATATCTCTTCCCATAAAGTAAATGCATGCATTTGCAGCAATGATGAGCGGCTGGTACCAATGGGTGCTTGAGGCTCTCTCTTCCTGGTCCAAAACATTGTGTTCAAAATCATTGTGGCAGCTGCCAGATTCCATGAGCTCCATTGGAAATCCTATTGAACTCTACTGAGCAATGCATGGATTCCTGGAATCAGAACCAACGATTTCTGGATTTCTAGTCTACTTTGAGAACATGACCCCAGAGTTCAGCAGTAACCAGGATCCCAAGTCAGAGGCTACAGTGTCACTGGTTAAGGAGCCAGGGTGGGTTCCTGGATCTGAGCATGATGCTGATAATCAGGGCACCCATTGAGTTAGAGACTGGTGGGCAGGAATCCACTGAACCAGGTATCACAGAGTCTGTACAAGTGGACCCAGGACTCTCTTAGGTGCATTCACTGGGTCTTAGGAACTGAATACCTCTCACATTACCTCACTGCACAGGGAGCACACCACGTGGGAGGCCAAGGAATGCAGGATAAATGCCTCCCCTTCAAACCAGAGGGTTGGCCCTTTAAAAGACTCTAGCTCTCACAAAGGGTGTGGTGGCAGAGGCACATGTGGCCTCAGTTCACTTCCAACTCTTGTAGAGAAAGCTGCTTCCTTGGTGCTGTCCATGGTTCTACAACAATCAATCAGCTTTGCTCCATGGCCCATCTAGTCCAGTATCCTGTTCTCACAGGGACTTGAGCACAATATCACTTTCCCCTCCCTGGTATTCAGAAGCACACTGTCTCCAACTGTGAAGGTTGAGAGCAGCTTGCTAAGGAATTTCTAGGCTGTTGCAAAACCACCTTTCCTAATCAGTTTTCAAACAAGTGTCATTGGGCTGTTCATATTTCTCTTTGCAGGCAGGAGGTCACGATTTTTGAAGATCAGAATTCCACTGTAGAATTTACAGGCGTTTACAAGCATGTCATGTTATCAATTAAAAGGAGGAATGGTTGGAAGCCAATTATGTGTGCGTACACATGTGTGCCTCGATAAAATAAATATATAAATAAAATCCAGTCTCCACTGCAAGGTACT